CCCGGAGGACCGGCGTGCGGCGCAACCTCTAAATCCACCGCTGGGTTCTCTACTGGACCAACCTCGCCACCGACAGAGGAGCTCTCCTCCTCTTCCTCCTGCTCGTTCTCCCGCCGCGCCCTCTACATCCACGCTCCCATAGTTAGTGCCAACCCCGCTGCTTCCTTCCCAAAAAGGTTTGTCTTGTTGCGATATTTTTGGCTCGCGGACAGTGTCCGGGGCCGAGCAGATTTACTATCTGCAAAATGTTTTGTGCCGCGTTTCGTGCCGCGCGAGCTGCGGACTCCATCGTCTTCTGTGTGAAATGCAGTATCGACTGACCTCCACCACTGCTGTGTGCGCCGCTGGGATCCTCTTCGCACCAGTCCTCGTCGTTGACGTCCTCGTCTGCAGCCGCCTTCTCTTCCTCCGCATCCACGTCCATCAACTCCGCGCCATCGTCGCTGTCGGAGAGCGCAACACCAGAGCCGGGTGGAAGTTCATGTTTCAGCGCCTGCTTCGGTTTCTCGGAAACCGCTCGGCCATAGGGCCCGCGTGGTGCTTGCGTGCGTGTTGTGTGTTCTTTTGGTCACCACGTGTGCAATTGGTTGTGTGTGCGTGCGTCGCCAGCGAAAAAAAAATCTCCCATGGCTCGGCACAACTTGGCACAACAAAATGTGGAATACAGAGCCGGCCCGCACTTAAGAACCTCCTATATTGGGCGAGGCTCAGTTCTTATTGGCTGCCCCAACCCGAGTACCAGTTCTTATTTGCCAAGTTCTTATTTCGTCGTCCATTCTTCTTCAGAAAGGGGCGTTCTTACAGTATTTTAACATCATTTGCTATATTGTCGGCTGTCAACCATGAGCAACAACACTAGTAGTACTACTGCTGTCGATACAAGAAAATACCAAGGCATTGAGCAGCAACTGTCAACCTTCTTGGTCCACAAGGGTGACGTTGGTCCTGCGTACCCTTCCTAATCTACTATAAATAATGCTCTCAAGCGAAACCGCAAGGAGGAACACTGAAAATGAAACGTGTCCCTTGCAAGTAGAATGACAAATTTATGACCGACTTCCTCGCCAAAATTCCCATGCATCCAGGTGACAACGGCAAATACCGGAGATGCCGAAATGCCGAAATGCCGCCAAAAATCCACTGAACCAGAATTCTACCCTTCAAAGAGTCAGCCAAGTATGCACATGAAGGAGAGCACACGCAGCCAGTTGTCTGAGCTACTCCCCCACCTCTCCTAGTTTTCGGAGCTAGCCGGCAATTCGGATCCAACCGTTGTGCGATACGTAATCCTCTCCGTTAGGATTTGAGGAGGACGGAGTCTAAAGCTGTAGAGAAGCACTGCGCCTGTTCGCTCCATCCTACTGCTTCTTAAGACTGACTTGGGCCCTCTAAAACTCCGACAAGTACGAACAAACTCCTTTGTGTGTGGTCGAAGATGGACTGCGTCTTTGTACAAGCCCAACATGCCACCATGCACAACATACTGCTGCTGCCGTTCACCTGTCGCTGCCGTTTCACGTCTACCTGTCCATGACATAGATATGCTGCCACTTGATGCGACAACATCTGGGAACAACACGGACACAGGGAGTACTCCCCCTACCCATACACCGTCAAAATTGAACAACCTCTCATTCCTCCCTTTCCACATACAACTGATGTAGATGCATGAAATGATACACTCTGTCTTTACTTATGGTCCGCGCTGTCTACAAATGGGAATGGTAGCCATACTTTCTGCAGACACACGGGCGAGAGAGGTCACCATACCCACTGCATTAAACACACACCCACATGTCGGTGATGAAACCTCAACCACAAGCCTCTCGAGTCTATCGGCGGCCACGTCAGGAGGCAATGATGCGATAATGTTCTCCCTTGCCCTTTGCACATTTAATGACGTGCAATTCCACCGTCCCGGACATGCTCCTATACATCACACACAAAAAATAAGTTGATGACGAAAAATACACACCCCGAGACGCGCTTGCTCCGCAATAACATAAGGGTACCATAAATATGGTATTCGCCTGATTGAGAGCGAAGTATCTGATTGAGAGCGAGAGCCAAAAAAATTGAAATTTCGGGTCCAGACGCCTCTTGCCATTTCTTGGCAAGTAGGGGACGGGCTATTCCAAGAAGCGGTGCAAATTGAAGGTCTCATCAGCAGCTTCGCGAGCATATGCGTGTCATCGTCATCGGATGCTGCAGCGAGGAGCTAGACAAGTTGCTAGATTTGCCCAGATTGGCTATTTCTGCTCAAACTGTTTCAGGGCGGTATCGCGTCGGGCGGTGGGCTCTGCTGTAGCTTCTGCTCCCCGCTGTAGCTCCACAACGAGAGACTCCCACAGGATGACCAGGGTAGCGGCTTGAAGCTACGGGCTAGCCCTTCAATTCAAGCTACACAGCAAGCTCCACCTCTCAGTGGTAGTCCGGCTACAGCGTATCGCGCAATCTCGCTCTCAATCAGATGCTACGCTCTCAATCAGGCGAATATGTTGTTCATATTAGAACACCCGACAAACCGAGTCCCCTAAATCTTCCGTCTACAACTACTCAACAAAACATGCAGATAGATACACAAGATGGCTACCAAACTGCCTTGTTGAGCCTGTTACCCACAGGGGAGATATCGCTGTGTGCTGTGTGGGAAACCGTAGAGATACAGGTAGCTTTCGCTCACGCTATGGGTTCATTGCTGATCTATCGTAGACTTACTTCTATGGATAGAGATGAATTTGTTGTGTGATATTAAGAAAACAAAAAAACCCCAGGAGCCTACAGCCGCATCCGAATCTCCGCTGTACTTGTCTAAGGGCAATTTCATCTTGCGCGTACTCTGGTCTAGCTCCAGCTGCATACAGTAGTCGTACAGGTGGCGAGTGTCCTTCTGAGATTGTTGAGTGATCAGCCCACGAAACCACCCCATGCCCAACCTAGCGAGCACTCCACGCCGCAAAAGCAATCTGTCAAGAGCAACGGGTTTAGCTTCTTGAATACGAAAGCCTGCCGGGATCTCCATTCCCTGTATCTCATCCTCCGGGACTTGTGGGTCCATGCTGTCGTCGTCGTCCAGAAGAGCTAGCTCGTCGATCTGGGGTTGAGAGATGTCTGCAAACGAGGCAACGGGAAACACAAGAAGCTAGGGTGTCACGTCGCCAAACTCAACCTGAACTTATCATAATTTGAGTGTAGCCGTGCGCGAAAACAAGCTAACGTCAACATGAAGGACATCGTCATCAACAAACGAAGATGAGGAGTTGGTTTTGTGCAAAACAAACTTGCCGCCGTCGTCTTGATCGCTGGAGGCAACGCCCTCCATGATGAGCGTCTCACGTCCTCCATCGCCCTCCTCCGCCCGCCCCTCAGGCTCATCGTTGCCGTTCTCCGAACCTTGTTCGTCGTCGCTACTGTCTTCATCGTTAGCGAAGGTATACGGCTTGTCCAAACCCTCCAAGGTGATTCGATCATTGCCCGAGCCGTCCACGGTTATGGCCATCCCGCACTCTTCGAAAAGACGGTGGTATCGGTACGCCTGTTGGCTGTTGAGTCTTGCCATGGCCGCTCCCATCCACTAAGTGATCAGGACGCGCCGATCAGAAGCTGTCAATGACGCGGTTTCCCACCTCTCGAGGTTGTCGGACTGCTCGAGCCATATGATGTCCATCTGCCTCCCGACTTCCACCTTGAGAAATCGTCCGGCTCCTGCNTGCCCGAGCCGTCCACGGTTATGGCCATCCCGCACTCTTCGAAAAGACGGTGGTATCGGTACGCCTGTTGGCTGTTGAGTCTTGCCATGGCCGCTCCCATCCACTAAGTGATCAGGACGCGCCGATCAGAAGCTGTCAATGACGCGGTTTCCCACCTCTCGAGGTTGTCGGACTGCTCGAGCCATATGATGTCCATCTGCCTCCCGACTTCCACCTTGAGAAATCGTCCGGCTCCTGCATCAACTGGCTGCACCTCGTCCGTGCACTCCGAAGGGCCATACCAGGCGAGAGCAAGATACTCCTTGAACTCGTGCGTGGTCTGCGCGTGAAAGTTGTGCATGATAAGAATGGACCTCGCCTTGGGGAGCTCACCCCGCCCGCGCATCACGCTTTTCTCGGGGGCACCCAGGGGCACGATGCGTGCGTACAATGCCCACACCCTTCCCCTCTAAAAAAATACAAATAAATGTTGATATGTGGAGTATGTACCCCTCCCAAATCCAATACTCTGTACTCTCGGATCAATCCCTCCTCTTCCGTCCCTCCCCCTGCGAGTATTCTTATCTGGCAGCCGCTGCATTGCTGTCGTTCTTATTTGTAGCAGCAGTTTTGCACCTCAGGTGTGTGTTCTTGTTCCTAACAGGGCGTGCAGCTGAGCACGCACGTGTTCTTATCGGTAAATTCTTAAGTTTTGGATTTTTTGAGCATCAAATTCTTAACTGCCATATTCTTGAGTGCGGGCCGGCACTACCCCCTGTGGATACATGCATAGTATAGACTACATGCATACCGCTGTCGTCGACAAGCTATTAGTCTACACCCCCCATAGACGCACATTGCGACGATTTAAGTGATATGTTAGCCTTGGTGACGCCCTTCCCCCCTCCCTCTTTCGCAATACTCATCGTGGTACGGACAGTTCCATCCACTCGCTTGAAAGCAGCATTTGCAACTGATGTTGATCGTGATGCAAGTTTCATACAGTATGCATAGATCTATGCACATATTTGCGGCAGCGGTGGCTGTATTCCATGCTCACGGAGCCCCCTCATACCCATTATATCCTAGCCGCCGCGCCCCTTGCCTGACGGTGCGTGGGTCCGTACTTGGCGGAGGCGCCAGCGCACCACGCACCACGCACCACGCACCGCCAGTGCCGTGATATATCCGTCATATCCACATATAACACGGGGAGCCAAATCGTCTCCCGCTATGCAGACGGGAGTCGGCATAGCGGTGCAGTCTGGCGTTGTTGGTGGGAAAGCATGTCTACAGCGGGTTCAAACTGCTGTGAACGAATCAGCCGCCTGATGGTCCAGTGGTCGCCTCAACAAGAACAGCAGGCCAAGGCACATAATCGGGAGTAGTCGGGCGCAGCATTCCGCGGCATCTCGATCTCAGGTGAAGGCTGCCTCCTACGGATGGACATTCACGTGCACTCACANATATATCCGTCATATCCACATATAACACGGGGAGCCAAATCGTCTCCCGCTATGCAGACGGGAGTCGGCATAGCGGTGCAGTCTGGCGTTGTTGGTGGGAAAGCATGTCTACAGCGGGTTCAAACTGCTGTGAACGAATCAGCCGCCTGATGGTCCAGTGGTCGCCTCAACAAGAACAGCAGGCCAAGGCACATAATCGGGAGTAGTCGGGCGCAGCATTCCGCGGCATCTCGATCTCAGGTGAAGGCTGCCTCCTACGGATGGACATTCACGTGCACTCACACACCTTCGTTTCATCTCGAGCCGCCACCCACTTTCATTGTCAACGGCGGTGTAAAAAAAATAAAAAAAACTGCAGCAGCTATTGTTGTTGTTGTTGTTGTTGTTGTTGTTGTTGTTGTTGTTGTTGTTGTTGTTGTTGTTGTTGTTGTTGTT